ACTAAGTAAATGAAGCAGATGCGATGACTCCGACATGAAAGGGATAGGTAAAAAGTCAAATCCCAAAGAGCCTCCCCTGGCCACCTCTGTTTTCAATTACACAACCTTCACGGCAGAATCATCTCCGACAGAATTCTCAGAAGATTTCTAGATCTGAAAGATGACACAATAAAGGATAACTGAGTATGTTCAAATGAGGATAGGGCAGACATTCTCAGGTGCAACAGGATAAAAAGCAGGAACTGCAGTAAACTGAGGAAGCAAGAAAACCAAGATGTCGTCGAGCCCATGGGAGGTGAAATGTAAAGTCTTAAAAACAAAGAAGATCCATCTGCATGTTCTGACAATCCAGGAGAGCCCATGGGAGTGGACTGAACGAGAAAAGGCCATCAAACTAGCATTATGGCAAGTGAGAGAACACCTTCAACATGGGAGTTTAATCATGGGATTTAAGAGACTAAGACGATTCAGTCTTCCCTAGAGATAGTTCTTGGAAACCACAATACAGCCAAAACCCAACTGATGAATCCAACTCTCTTTCTGGCAACTGTCTTCAGGAAAAACACACAAAAACCCAATACACATACATTGCAGACTGGAGCCACTGTAACATTGAGGTCATTCATTTCAATGATGTTTTCAAGATTGTCTGACAATGTCCGCTTTCCCTGGAAAGCTCTCCCACTTTTCACAATGACTCCTTCAAGCCATATATACTTTTCTTAAGAATGCTGACACTCCTTCTGCTTCCCAATCACCCTGAGCAGGGTTGTCACATACTTCAAAGAGAAAATACATGCCATACGAAGGAAAAGTTTTCAACTTTTTGGCACCAGACTTTCAGATCTGTTTACATAGTCACCCTTTTCTCCTTCCTGCGGAAGAGGTCTCCTTTCACAAATACAAGATCAATCCCTCCCTCCAACCATGTCAGTGGTCCTTTCCTTGCCTATGTCCCAAGCTGTGTCACTCACCCTCCCACACCGGCTCCTCCTCTAATGGTCCTTTTGTCAGTGAGCCAGGACTGGAAGTTATCCTGGACTCCTTCCTCTCCAGTTACCAAGTCCACATCCTAAATCTCTATCGACTATATCTTGTTATCTATCTTCTGTCACCACCATCCCTAATTATGTCACCTACTGTAACAGCCTTAGTCTCTTGACCTCCAAGTTTACTTCTCATTCATTTGCACTTGTACCCGCCAATCATCTTACCAAAATGCTATTCTGATATATTACTTCCTCAATTTTATTGCCCATGGAATAAAATACAAACTCCTTAATATGGTTCCTAAGACCCTCTCATGATTTGCTCCTGGCTTGCCTTTCTAATTTATTTCTCATTACTTCACTCCTTGCATCAAACATTTCCAGACATTCACACACTTATTTCCTTTGTCTGGGAGACTGTCCACCCTCCCTTCAACATTTTCCTGCTGAGGTCCACCTCAATCTTTAAATGCCATTTCCTCTTGGAGGCCTTTCCTGACTTCCTAAACTAGGTTTGGTCTCTGTGCTAGGAACTTTCCTGACATAACATTCATTGTTCTTTGTCAATTTATCTGTATGCTTAGAAAGGAGGGCTCTGTCTATTCACAGTTGTGGCCTCAATAGTCAGCAGAGTAACTCTGCAGGCATCAAAAATTTTTGTTAAATAAATAAAAGGAAATATAATACATATAAAAAGAAATATAAAAATAAACCATGCATAACAGATGTGCTCCTTTACCTGGAATGATCTAGATAAATAGTTCTTATAGATTTTCTTTAGAGGTGCAACATTTCAGCTTTCATAGGTAAGAACAAAATAGGTATTTTTAAGTAATAGTTGAAGCTGTTACAATGGAAGACAGATTGTGATTTGATGGCTCTTGTGTCTTTTAGATTGTTTCCAGGCCAGAAAAAGTGGATGAAAAATTTGATTACTCCTGGAGACATTCATGTCCTGTATCAAAATAGTAGTAATACTGGAAAAGCTAGTTACCTCAAGGTAGGATGGATAAATAAGAAATTTATCAAGAAGTCTTTGAGTATAACATACATACTTACATAGATATGATAAAATATTACCACTAAAATCTTTATCTATCATAGGGAAGAGAAACTTTAAATATCCTAAGAAAGACGACTTCAATGCATGCTCAGTTGTGTTTAAATATATTTTTCTAAAGGAAAAAAGAGCAGCTGGCCTTACAATAGTAAGAAAAAGGTATTGATAACTAGACTGTAGAAAAAAAAGTGCCTGAAATGTTCATTCAAGGGTGGTATTCATTCTTTATTCAGAGCTTGGTTGTCAGGCTTGAAAAGCAACAGATTACTGATGCATCCTACAGCCAAGTCATGGAGAACATAAATAAATTTGTCCTTAGTCCAGCAATGAATAAAGGGGGAGAAGACTTACTCTTTGTATTTCAAGGGTCAATGCCTTCTGTCTGGCTTCAGTAGGACGATTTCTAGTAATGACAGTTTATGACACAACTTAGAACCACGATAATTTTGCTTTCATTAAACACAGCAAAGTGATCCTTAAATCCTGATACTGCATGATTAATATCTTGCATTGATTTATTTGCATTTTTTATCATGTGGATGATATAGAGACTGGGAAATCTAAAAGAAATTTCTTGATCTATTTAGGAGCTTTAAATAATTTATTTTATGCCTCCTCCAGTTTAAGGAGGTAGTTTAAAAAAAAAGCTGGGGTCAAGATAAATGTAGCAGAGTGAAAATCAACAAGTAAACAGCAGTAGTATGTTTACTAAGGGCAAAGATAAAGCTGTTTTAAAAGTAATTCATGAGAATTCCTACTAAATTAAAATACTTGATTAATTTTGCTCTCTGCCCTAAAAAATGTCTTTAGAAATATTAATAACTCCCACCTTTTGGCCAGAAGCCAGTATCTTTCCATTTCTTAAATTGCACACACATACGCACACAGATACACACACCCTTACACACAGTTTTGATGAAGTCAGGGCTAATTTTAGGTCATTCTTGTTACTGTGATTAATGGTAAAAAAAAATTTTAAACAGGAGCAGTATCTAGGAAGATATGATTTTTAGAACCTTTGTAGACAGCATCAAAAGGGGTATTTCTGAACCTACTTATATGAAGAGATTGTGAGTTGCCTATTTTAGACAAGGCGCTGGCTGTCTGGTGAGTCACCTATGTGGCAAGCTCAAATAGGTAATAACTGTGATACAAAATGGCATAAAGTATCATGTGAAGAAAGCTTGTAATAAAAGAATTTGAGAAAACGAAAAGGAATAAGAATTCCTGTTGTGGTGATCTGAGAAGACTTCATGAAAAAAATGGATGTGAGATGATTGTTGAAGAAAGAGCAGGGCTTTCTAAAGGTGGAAATAAAGGGAAGTGTTTTGTAATTTATAGAACACAATCCAAATTTTGTTACTTATCTTTTAATAAATATTTGTAATGTGAAATTGCTTCAGAAGTCATCTCATCTGCCCAAATAAATTATAAATTATGAAAAGCAGTGGTTATAGCTTAAAATGCCTTATAAACCTGCAGCTTACAAATATTCCTTACTTAAGAAGGGTAAAGAACACACTTCCCCTCTCTCCACAATGACTGAATCTCACCCCAAACTCCATTAGATATTTCCCTCCCTTCTTCTGTCCCAACATTATTGGGAGGAAGGAAAAGTGTCACAACAAAAGCCAAACGGATTGACACCTTCATGGAGGTAGACTATACACAGAATAAAGATTAAATAAAGGACTAAAGAGTATTCACTGGATTTGGTAATGTGGAGGCAAATGGGTGACTTCAACCAAAACAAGTGAAACCAATTATTTCCCCGTGATACTCATTTTTTCTGACTCTATGCTTATGACCTTGTAGAATAACAACATAATTCAATAAGAAAAAGGTAGTCATTATCCAGTAACTTTCATCCCTCCTAGGATATTAAAATTGACCACTGAATGACATGTTCCAAAACTATCTCAGCAAGTTAACTTGAAAGGATATTTTGATTTTAAAATCTGCCGAAACCGGTTTGGCTCAGTGGATAGAGCGTCGGCCTGCGGACTGAAAGGTTCCAGGTTCGATTCCGGTCAAGGGCATGTACTTGGGTTGCGGGCATATCCCCAGTAGGAGATGTGCAGGAGGCAGCTGATCGATGTTTCTCTCTCATCGATGTTTCTAACTATCTCTCTCCCTTCCTCTCTGTAAAAAATCAATAAAATATATTAAAAAAAAAAAAAGTTCTCAAACTTTAAAAAAAAATAAAATCTATACTACAAGTATGGCCTCTTTAGTCTGTGGACACTTTATCTTCCAGAAATGTGGTAAAAAAAACCCCCACAGAAATAGATCATAAACTATTTAGGATACATACTTCCAGGCTTTACAACAGATCCACTTCTATTATTAAGAAATCTTCAACCATCTCCTTTTTATCACCCGTAAATGTTCCAACACCAATACCATTATGTTTTAGTTACCTGGCTATAATTGAGCTGTATAAAAACTATTTGCTACGCCTTTTGACCATAAGTACAAACTTTAAACTGTGCCATATTTTCTGGAGTTAAATTCAACATTATACAGTTTTGTAAGGTTGGAAAGAAACCTTAAATGGCTACGCAATCTGTTGTTCTAGGCAAAGCTACTAAGAGTGCAAAGCAAATCTTTTTATTAGAGCCATTAGGATATTTTTTAAATGTTTTTATTGATTTCAGAGAGAGGAAGGGAGAGGGAGAGAGACAGAAACATCAATGAGAGAGAATCATTGATCAGCTGCCTCCTGCACGCCCCTTACTAGGGATCAAGTCCGTAATCCGGTGTGTGCCCTGACTGGGAATCAAACCCTCAACTTTTGGTGTATGGGATGACACTCCAAAACAACTGAGCCAACCCAGCCAGGGCTATAAGTGGATTTTTAAATCTTTGTTGGCTATCTATGTATTAAGAGCCTACTTTATATTATTTGATAAACCTTCAGAAATAATTTTATTCAAAGAGCAACACCCATGAACCTTTAAAATGAACCATTTATTAAATCATTCTTAACAGTTATGTAAGTTACATATATGTTTATGCCAGAGTATTTCACATGGAAATCTTTTAAACTTTTATAGGCAAGCAAAATCGTACCACACAATATATAAGTGGGAAGGGGTACTGCTAAACATTCAAATAAAGCAAGTATTTAAAAACAATAAAACAATAATGAAAGAAATTCAAGCATTCCTTTAAGAGAATTCAATACTACAAGCTAAATGTACTTTCTGAGTGTATTCATATAATCAAGTCAGTTTCTTCTTTTAAAACATCAAGAAATGGAATAAGGCTCATTAACAGATACAGCTGCCCTCAAGATTTCAATCTCAGTTGCTTTCTTTAAATTAAAATTCACAAAGTGCACAATTAAGATATATCAAAAAACTGAATCTGCTATTCTAACAACAGCTGTCCATGCTTAATACTTAGTGGTTTATTTGACCAAATTGTGTCTTTTCAGGGAAAAATAAAAAAGATAAGCCACTGTAAAACATTTAGTTGAAATGTATGCTAATATTTTTCTTAGAAATAAAAAATTATGGAAGAAAAGGGTTATTTATCTTAAGGAAATAAAAGCAAAACACTGGAATGATCAAACATTTCCAAAGAACAAGCACCACAAAGGACATTTGCATTCAGTTTTGTAATATTTATCAACGTATTTTTCTTACTCCAACCAATCTACTTCATCGAATTCTGAATCATCTTCTGAATCACTATATTCCACAGCAATACGGCGGGACAGGATGGTGGCAACATCATTTTCAATGCGTTCATGTTTAGCTTCCTGTTCACGCTGCTCTTCTACTTTTCGTAGCTGAATACCTGATACAGTAAATCCAAACCATTCATTGTAAACCAAAATACTAGATATTGTTACTCTTTCTGGAATAAAATCAAATACACATGAGAAATACTAATAGAAAAATAAAAAGCAATGTCTATTAAAAAGACCTTGAAGGAATCATATTTAAAAGACATTATTTTTTTTTTATTATGTTACCTGTAGTTGGTGGAACTTACCAGACATCCCACTAGATATCTACAATGTATTAAACCATTATAATCTACTGTGCCTGCCTGCTCACCAAATCCTAAAAAGTTAACCAGATGATATTTTTCTTCTGTGACCTCTAGAATCAAATAAAATAAACATTGTTGACGATATTTTCTGAGGCTTTATTCTCCCTGGTACTGAGGAAAAGGCACTCGTATTCATTCTATTTTGTAAGCTCCTGGCATGTGGTAGGTGTTTAGGAAATGCTGGCAGAATACAGGAATGAATATGTCAGTCTTTTTTTTGTTACTAAGGGAGGAAACTTAACCCTTTAACGGCATCTGGTAGAGCCAGTGTCACTGAGACACCAGATGGACAGCCTTAACGCTGAAGAAAATACAGTTTTTTAAGGAGTTAATATTCATATTAAAAATAATGTAAATGGTTTTAACTAATTTTCTTTAATGTTTGTCTGACTTTTAATTTCTCATTTATTCAATAAACATTGAGACTCTCTAAGTATGAAAATAAAAGTTAAATGTGATATATTTTCTTGAAAATGCTTTAAAATTGAACATAGCTTTACTTTCTAAAGACCATTTGTGCAAAAACATGATCATTTAAAATTTTTTAACTGAGTAAAACATTATTGTTCAAATATTTAGAAAGTTTCTAGTACTACAATAGCAATGCTTTCAGTGGCCCTGAGAAAATTACCTTTGCGTATTGCTTCCAGAAGTACACTCCTGGCATCACTGATTACAGGTAGGGTTGATGGATGACGCTTTGGCTCAGAAGCAGGTACAACTTGTGATGGAGGAGATGGAGGCATTAATGGAACATGGGGACCTGGGGCAGTAGATGGAGTTGGATGTAGCCCAGAGGGAGGATGAGCAAGAGCTGCAACTGTGACAGGTGATGATGGTCGAATGCCAGGTGGAGGCAAGGGAGGCGGTGGCGGGGGTGGTGGCAGCCCCTGGACTTCACCTTGTGGGAGTGGATGAACTGGTACAGTCTCACATACTGGGGCAGCTCTAGCTACTGGTGGAGAGGGCTGTACTAGAGGAGGTGCAATTGGAGGAGGAGCTGGGTGAAGAACTCCAGGGGCAATCTGAAGAGGAGCTGGAGGTGGTGGTACTGCTGGAGCTTGCAAAGTAGTGGCTGGAGGTGGAGGTGGAGGAGGTACTGGTGGGGGAGGAGTTGAAGTCATTGAAGCTCTTAATGAAGAAGTTGACAAGGCAGATGGAAGAGGTGGTGGAGGAGGTGGGGGGGTGGGGCTCACAAACACAGGTGTCCTGCCTGTAGCTGGTGACTGAGGGCGATTTTCTATCAAACCTGTAGCAGAACTGAAATGATAAAGAGATCCTAGCAAGTTATTAAAAGAGAAAAAATTAACCACACAAAATATAAATGACGATCAGTAATAATACCAATGTAGATGTATGTATTAACATGTTCCTATAGGAATTACAAAATTTTCAGCAGTATTGAAAATGAAAGGAGTACTAAAAGTGGACCAAGAAAATTAATACAAGGGACTTTGGTTTGTAATATTCTAAGTGGTCTCATCCTCTCATGCAACTTTCATATCCATTCAAGCATTTTACGCTTACAATTTTACACTGTGATATGAGTCTTTATAATGACTCAACATTTATTATATTGCAATATTTGTAGCAATACCGTGACCACTAAAATGCCGTATTTATATTGAAGCTATTAAGGCTCATCATATGTCATTTCAGTTAAATCAGTGACAACTAATTACAAACCATAAACAGAAATGTATGGCCCTCTTCCTTCCTGAGGATAAAACATCAAAGGAGTCAGTGACAGAAGGTTGATTTTTTTTTAACTGAAAATTATGAAGCTGATCTCTCTCTTTAAAAATTTATAATTTGAACAATGGACAAAATTAAACTTCAAAATAGCTTTACTAAAAATACTATGAGCAACTGCCTATTCTATCTCAAATTCTGAGAATATTTCCCCTAATATCAAATTAACATTTATAATCAACACCTTTGGTTCCCATTTTTTAGTCCCTTAACACATTATGAAAAATTTTTATTTGTGTTAATATACAATAAGTCCTCCCTTATCACTGTCAATAGGTTCAATGACTTTAAATGAAACGACATATAACGAAACCAATTTTACCATAGGCTAATTGTATAAACAAGAGTTAAGTTCCCATAGCATCTAATCAATGTTAAACATGTTGAATAAAAAGATGACACTATTCAAGGGCCCGCTATACTGCACATCATGTGTTTAATAACAAAGCTATAATAAAATGAAATGCACTTTAAACTTTAAATTCTCATTAGTTATATTTTCCCAAGACAATGTGTCAGCTCTTATCAGAGGTTGGAAAGTCATCTCCCAAAAGATCAATTTGCCCCTCTCCCTGTTTTTGTAAATAAAGTTTTGTTGAAACACAAACATACTCATTTAATTATGTATATGGTCCATGACTTCTTTCATGCAACAATGGCAGAGTTTAGCAGGTGTGATACAAACATATGCCCAACATACCTGATACAGGTGGGTATGGGTTTTGCATCTCCTGCTCCATGCATTGGTGGAGGTGGAGGTGGTTCATGTGGTCTTACTAGGACCCTTTCCTCGGCTCTAGTCAGAAGCTCACTCATCTGACTAAATGGCAAGGCAGAAAGTGAGTAAGATCCATCCATATGATCCACATATGTTTGAGGTCTAAAAAAAAATACAGTATCAGTATATTTTTCTTGAATTACTGGAGTAACGTGTTCTACATGAAATAAAGATTATCCTTTGAATGCCAATATTTTAACCACCTTTAAGAAACTCCTTCCAGAAATTCATTACATTCACCCTGCTTTTAAAACAAAAAATGCTGCTCACAATGCAAATTTTCCTTGCTGATTCAGGTTCATTATGATGACCTCCAGTTATTTTATTATTTTATAATATCACACTAACTCAATTCATAAGGATAAAAGAATTACATATATAAGCTTATAAACAAGAAAATAACCTTTAGCAAATTGCATTCAAAGCTGTCTGCCTCTATTTCATTTCTTTCTTTACAATAAGATGCCAATGACAAAAAGTTAGAATACAAAAATTGGAATTTTTCACCCTAGCCAGTTTGGCTCAGTGGATAGAGTGTCGGCCTGCAGACTGAAGGGTCCTGGGTTCGATTCTGGTCAAGGGCACATGCCCAGGTTGTGGGCTCGATCCCCAGTAGTTGGCGTGCAGGAGGCAGCCAATCAATGATTCTCATCATTGATGTTTCTAACTATTTCTCCCTCTCCCATCCTCTCGGAAATCAATAAAAATATTTTTTAAAAATTAATTAATTCGCCCTAACCTGTCTGGCTCAGTGGATACAGTGTCGGCCTGCATACTCAAGGGTCCCAGGTTCGATTCCGGTCAAGGGCATGTACCTTGGTTGTGGGCACATACCCAGTAGGGAGTGTGCAGGAGGCAGCTGATCGATGTTTCGCTCTCATCGATGTTTCTAACTATCCCTCTCCCTTCCTCTCTGTAAAAAATCATTAAAATATTTTTTTAAAAAATTAATTAATTAAAAAAAATAAAAACTGGAATTTCCTACCACCAGGATATCTTGTTGCTCTCTTAAACCTAAATGTCTTACATCCAAGGAGAAAGGTCTCCTTGACCCTAACACCAGACATGATTAACTACATCATTTTTGTCTTTTTGGTGTTTTCAAAGGTGCTAGGGTACTCAGCAAATAGTACACTGGTGCGCTGAGTAACAGAGCAACTTGTGTCTGAAGATCAGATTTAAGCAAAATTTTAGATACCCTGAGCATGTGAAGACATACATATTTACTGACTACAGAGCACACTGGGGACAGTTGGATTTAAAAACTATGCACAAAGCAAGTTAGGATTATTGTATTTACACTACTAGGTCAGCTAGATACTTCAATTACTTAACAATAGTAGAAATAAATGTTTGCCTATAGATTAATTTTTTTAAAAAAATCTAAATTCTTTCAGTGTCTTTTAGTAATGTATAGAAAGTGTCTTATATGTATATTACTCCTAAAATAGGCCAAAATATTTATCATGGCCCAATAATTTACAAAATTCAAAAGAAAACCTTAAGCTCTTTTGCATTAAAAAATCAATAACTATTACATATGTAAAAATAATAGTTATAATCAATCAACTATACAAAAATAAATTTCTTCATAGAAAGATGTTAGTATGTTTGTTAGGGTAGTGTATTACTTATATAGGGCCCCTAACCATGGAGAAAGGAAAAGTACCTATTCTGTATTTTTACAAAAGGGAGTGAGTAATTTTGTTTTAAAATCCTGGTATGTCTGAGTGAGAGATTGGCATAGAAAGGATGTCAGAAAGAAAAAGGAACAAAATATAACCCTTTCTCAATTCCTATTTTATATATAGTGAGTCAATAATAGTTCAAAAACTATTCCAGAGTCCTGTCTCCTATTATAAAATTCTAGCAGAGTCTGCCTGAAAAACTAACAGGAAGTTGAGACTTCATACAAAAGCTAAAACAACCCTGAAGATCATCTACTCAACCACCCTTTTCAGAAAATGACTAAAGCCCCAGTATGAAAATAATCTGCCACAGTGGTCAGGGTTTCAAAACCATCTCTATACTTATAACAGGGTCTGCCAGTTCAACAGTTCAGGATCTAATACTTAAAGATAGAGATATTAGAAATAAAGCCAGTATCATATCATTAATTTTGTTAGAAAACAAACAAAAGAAAAGAAACCTTGTTTCAAAATGAGAGGCTGGGCCATTAGCAACTTCAATATGCTTATGTAAGAGATTAGCATCATCTTCAGCCAACTCTGGACCTTGGGCCAGCTTCTGCCATTCTCTCCGCCTGTCATGAGGTGCTCTTGGCACTTTTTCTGGTTCATGAGGACGATCTAGATTTTTCTGCTATAACAGATGTATTGAAACAAAGCCAAATGCTAAGTGCTAAGTTTTTAAAAGGGGTTATAACAATCAAAATAAATCCTAACATCAATACTACAAAAGACAAGGTCATCATAATATAGTAAAAGTAACACAGAGACAGTTCATTTGTACATTCAGAGTTAAATTTTAGCTAGTTTGCTTGTAAGCCAGTTTCTCCTCATGTTTCTTTAACCTCTAATTGGAATTGATGTACCAGATAAAAACAGTATGTCTAAGTAATAAAATTTGAGGTCAGAAAGTCCTTTCAGGTGAAAAATTATTCACCAACTCTGTTATCACATCTGTTAGTTTTTGCTATAATGAGTGAAATTTCTACCATTAATGGCACTGTCTACCTCTAACCAAAACCTGAAAATTTACTAAGGTTATGTTATCTGGGAAGTAACCAATTGGCTACCCAATACATTAGAAAAAAATCCAATTATCCAATTAACCCATTATAACTTTCACTCAATGGAAAACAGGGTATTTGGAAAATAAAACAAGAAGTGATTTAAATTGTGGAGAAAAGCAAAGAAAGGTCTAGAGTAGGTACAACAAAGTCAGATGCCCAAAGGGCAAGCAGATAACATACATAAATGGAGAGTAGGGTATAAGATGGGGAAGGCAGTAAATTAGATAGGACTGTCTACTTAGGGCATTTCAGTTCCAAAAATTTTAAAGCACTGTGGTTGTCAAACAAAACCCTGCTTGCAGGTGTAATCGGGGCTGCCAGTCACCAGTTTTCAAACTCTAGCTAGAACACTGGAATGCTGTCTGGTGAAAAAGATAACAGGAATGCATTATGGGGAACTGGGGGTGGGGGTGGGAGAATAGAGAGAGTTATAGGAGAAACAGGGGTGATGAAGATAGACTTTGCCTCCTTCATAATTCTATCTAAATTCAACATTGCTCTCTCCTTTTGTATTTCTAGTTATCATTAACATGGAATAAAGCAAATCCAAGTGAATTTTATCAAAATATGGAAAATGAAAACATAGTAGACAGATAACAGGAATTTAGTGAGAGTATAATAACCTTTTCAAAACATTTAGGATATGCCCTATGGTTAAAAATATTAGCTTAATCCGCTTTACCAATATTTGCACAACATTCCTTTGTTCCTTATTACTAGAATGCCCTTCTCTTCCCTGGCCCACTTAATTCCTATTTGTTGTTTGAGATACATTATAAGCTTTGTTGGAAGTGTTTACCAACCCTGTTCTCTGTTTAAATCAAGTGCTTTTCTGTGCCCACCTCAACTATGGCACTTATCACATCATGTTACAATAACCTAATCAAGTCTATCTATGTACAATTTCAGTGATCTAATCTGCTCAGATTAGAGTGTGAACTTTCTTCGTGATTATAAAGACTTCAGTTGATTACTTGGACCCAATAAAAGAAAACTGTCAAAGTACAGGACTAATAAAGTTCCATATGTGCAATAAAACACAAATACTCGAAAACTAACTTCAATTTTTTGAATCTCTTGTAATACCTTCTGCTTCCTCTTTTCCTTCCTCTTATCCTCTGTATCTTGTAACATTTTTTCTTTCCATAAATCAAAGAAATATGAAGGATTGGTATAAAACTTCAAACCTTCTTTACCATCATCTCTGAAATATAAAATATCAATTAAAATGTGTATTAGTAAGACTTAGGAATCAGAATAAAGATAGTTTCACTGAAATGTTTTTTTTTCCTACATGAATAAAATATAGCATGTGTAAAAATAGTGGCAAAATAAATTAGAATACTGCACCAACAGAACATTTCTCACAAGTCAGATAAGAAACTAAGAACAATGGAAAACTAGATGCTTTTCAAAGCTGGTGTTAATAATTTAAAGTACAGCTGGCCAATTTTCATTCCTAACTTCTGGTGAATACCGTTTTCTAAAAGTGCTTTGAGAAATTCCAATAATTAGAAATGGTTCTGCCAAAGAGAAAAGCTTGAAAGGACAATCATATCATTTATAATAGAGAAATTATACAGGTTTTCTGCCAATACTCTCATTTACTTATTATCTTACCAAACCCCAAAAATATCACATAATAGTCATTCTTATAGTAAAACAGTTATTTATATCCAAATGCCTTGCATACTGACAAAGAGTTTCAAATAACTATCTGAATAACATTTTATTCAGGATATTTGTTATGCATCTTAAATTACCTATTTAGCAAATCATGTGAAGAACTTCAAAAAAAAGAGGCTAAATAGTAATTCTAGATTTTATTTAAAATACATTGAACTTCATACTCATTATGTAAATTTAATGCACATAGATCAACAGATTAGACAAGCAAAAACAACATTTTTGGTAGAATTCTGAGTTATTTTTCCATCTGATTAGAAATTAAATCTAAACGACAATAACAACTCCTTGACCCTTCATAGTACTATGTTTGCCATTGGCTTTTATTATTAATACTCATAAAAACATTTCCCTTGAACTAGCCTTATCTTTTGTATGCCAGAACTCTGGGAACTCAGTGAATAAAGCAAACGTTTTCTAAAGTGGTAGATTTACTGTATAGCTCAGTAAAATAAAGAATGTTCGGGGGTTTAGCATTTATAGGTAGAGTGCTACCTATCTGAATGTGAAGTCTGAGATAAATAGCCAGCCTTCTTACTGATGAGCCTACTGACCTATAAGGAGTGAGGATATTGAGAGGCGGAGGCTGCTCACAAACATCGTATGTCTCCTGTAACGGAATAGGCAAACTCTTGCGGTCGAAAAGCTGCTGATCTTGAATTGTAGAACTTCGGAAAGCCTTTCTCATTGTTATATCTTGCAAAGACACTAAAAAAAAAAAATCAACAATGTATTTGTTCATTTTCCCAAGATGATTTAATGTAAGAATAAATTCACATACTATATTTGTTTAAAAGTCAGCATGGCTCAGGAGGTTGTAACTGTAGTGGCTTATGAATCAGGAACTGTATTTTAAATGTTCTATCATTATATCCCATTTCATTGTGTGCCTAATTTCCCCAGTCAGATGGGTTTTAATACAACCTTTGATTTCTAAGGATCAGAATGCTCTAATGACTCCTGAAGCATATCTATATTTCCCAACAAATACACCTCTTTCTTTTCTCTACTTGCCCCCGCCAACACACATTCTCTTCTTCTTTTTTTCTATAACCCCCTTTCCCCATCACCCTTTTTTAGTTTTATTTAGCTTATACCAATAACACTGAAGGAATTACTTAGTTATCAGTAGCAGTCTGGGCTAAATACTCTCTTGACCTCTCTATAAGAGGTCAACAATGTATTTAATGGTAATTTAAAGAACAAAAAATATTGATATTACACTCTACAATTTCGTATTATATTTATAATGTTATTTTGTTCGAATTGAGTTAAAAAATCTAGGTTAAACAACTGAAAATCACTTCAATCCAATATCCCCAAAACAATTTCTATTCAATAGTTCAGCTTTTAGATTCTCAATTCAAACAATGCTCCACATAATTTTAAAGGAAATTATAAACAATTCTGATAGTTGTTAGCAAGCTATTTTTTTTTTAATCCTCACCTGAGGATATATGCCCATTGGTTTTAGAGAAAGAGAGAGAGAGGGAGAGGGAGAGGGAGAGGGAGAGGGAGAGGGGGAGAGGGGGAGGGAGAGGAGAGGGAGGGGGGGGAGAGAGAGAGAGAGAGAGAGAAAGAGAGAAACATCAATTGGAGGGAGAAACACTGACTAGCTGCCTCCCATAGATGCCCCAACTGGGGATTGAGCTTGCAAACTAGGCATGAGCCCTGACCAGGAATCGAACCCAAAACCTTTTTTTGGTGTACGGAAGGCTACTCTAACCAACTGAGCAACCCTGCCAGGGCACGCTAGACTTTTTGTCTCGCTTAAATACCTATAAATAACTTAAACACATCTTAAGTTATTTATTGGTATCTGTATTTTCATTTTCAATTTTAATAGGAGTGCTAAGATTTTGTTAAAATTTAACAGTACTGAAAATAAATATTAATTTTTATTTCCATTAATATAAAAAGTGCCTATGTATCTCTGTATTATTAGATGGCATATTAAATGTTTAAGTTATTTAAAAAAGAAATTTTGGATATAAATGATACATTTCAAGTACAGCCATAAAATATTTCTTCACTACTAGCAATAATTTTAAGAATTTCAAGAAATATGAGTATATGCTTTAAAGGATAACAAGAAAAACAACTCACAGAATAGGAGAAATATTTGCATATCATATTATCTGACAAGGTTCTTGGATCTAGAATATGCATAGAATTCTTATAACCCAACAATAAAAAGAAAAATAAGCCAATTTAAAACTGGTAAAAGGATCTGAGTAGACATTTTTCAAAAAAATGATATACAAGTTGCTGATAAGTCATTTAAACCCTGGTTTTAAATCCAAGCTTTACCACTTTTTGCTGAGTGTCTTATCTCTAAATGGCATATAGCCTATGAAAAGATGCTCAACATCGTTAGTCATCAGGGAAATGCAAATACATTCTACATGAATAGACACTGAAAATATTACGCTAAGTGAAAGAAGCCAGTTACAAAAGACCTCGTATTGTATGATCCCACTCATATGAAATGTCTAGAACAGGCCAATCCATATTAATCATTAATCTGATTGCAACATGCTGGGGAGAAGGGGAGATGGAGAATGACTACTAATGGGTCTAAGATTTCTTTATGGACTGATGCAATGCTCTAAAATTGATTGTGGTGATAGTTGCATAACTCTGAATATGCTAAAGTCCACTGAACTATACAATTTAACTTTAGATGGGCTCATTGTAGGGTGTATGGAATATATCTCAGTAAAACTGTAAAAAAAAAAAAAAGGTGTCCAGCCAGTGTGGCTCATTGGTTGAACATCAACTCATGAACCAAGAGGTCCCCGATTTGATTTCTGGTCAGAGCACATTTCTGGGTTGTGGGCTCGATCCCCAGTAGGGAGCATGCAAGAGGCAGCCGATTGATGTTTCAATTTCATTGATATTTCTCTATATATATCCCTCTCCCACCCTCTCTCTTTAAAAATCAATAAAAACATTTTTTAAAAGTGCTGTTTTGATTTTGTTCACAACCAGACATATGCGTTTATATTTTTGAAAGCAGTAGAAACTTAGCATAGTATTTGCCTCTCATTAAGACATTAAATTAGGTTATGTCAAACATGTTGGTTTAATCACTAAGACATCCATTATTACATTTTGTTTTTTGATTTTGTCCAGTGATATCTTTTAATACAACTTATTGTTCAAGTTTAGATCTCTTAAATACTAAAAATGTTATTCAACAAAAAAACATTTTTTGAAGAAACAGTTATAAGACATTCATATTAAATAACTCCAGGATAAGTGAAAATTATGTCCTTAATAGTTCCATTTCTATATGTTAAAAAACAAACAAACAGGAAGGAGTTTGAGAAACATCAACATTCAATGTATTCTATCAAGGCATGAAATGTTGTTTTATCACTAAGCTTCTAACATTAGTTTAGCCTGCAATGTGGGGTTTTGCGTGTTTGTTTTTTTTTTTGTTATTATCTATTTACTTTCTTTTTGCCTGATATCCCTCGTTTAATACTCAGTATAGAACATTTTTGTCCTACATACTAGCAATTTGTGTGGGGTTTTTTGAAATCATTAAAGTGGGAAGTAACATTCAAATAACTAGATCAGATTTTAGCAATCTAATATATGTACACATAAATAGCATATTTAAAGAAATTACAGTTTTATAGAATCAATTTCAATTTACTGAGAATTTCAAGTAAATTTAAAATAATTTTTATTTCTGAGGCAAATGTATACAAATAAATTGTAAGCAAGGAAAGATAGAGAATGGAGGAAAAATCTGGCTAAGTTATTCTTATGTCAAAAACTTGAGTTAGTTTAGTATATAAAAAGAAGAGATAAAAAAAAAAGTAGAAATGAAACCAGGAAAGTCATGCTAATGGCATTTATAGCTGATCCACAATTATTACATGTACAGAAAATATTTGTAATAAATTCATTTTTAATTCTGTTCTTAAATATTTCACTTATCTCACCTAACCTAAAATATATGTGAAAGAAAAAATATAAATAAACTTACATTCTTCTTCTTTAGGGTCAAGCTGTGTAACACTAACAGATAAACGGTCCACACGTTCCTGTAGTGAGTTAACTCTGAAGGAAAAACTATGTGCTTCATTGAATAATTCTCCAAATATATCTTCAGCATATTTACCTAAACAAAAATGAAGCATATACCACATAATTTAATGCAGCGGTTCTCAACCTGTGGGTCACGAACAATGAAAATACATCCTGCATATCAGATATTTACATTACGATTCATAACAGTAGCAAAATTACAGTTATGAAGTAGCAACGAAAATAATTTTATGGTTGGGGGGTCACCACAACATGAGGAACTGTATTAAAGGGTCGCAGCATCAGGAAGGTTAAGAACTACTGAAATGTGATCAGAGATAAATACCCAACAATTTAATATTTAAAGGTGCTGTCCTGATAAATTTGGCATTTTTATGTTGTTCTAGCTACATGTGTGTATGTTCAAACCCTCTCACTTGAACCAAATTAGATTAACAACCTCTTTTTATCTTGTGCTAAGTACTCAATTGTAAAAATTAAAAAAAAAAAAAAAAAAGGCTAAAAGGAAAAGAAGAGAAGAGCCAATCCTGCCTGTGGGGACAATCTATGTGGGAGGGTAGAAATGTGAAGATAAATCTGAGACCATTTAGAGAATATTTCTAGGCCAGGAACACCTTGTTTTATCTTTAAAATGAAATATAAATGTCTTGATAAAAAGCTAATCCTTCAATTCAAAAGACAGTCTGGATTTATTTTTCAATTTTCTAATATTAAATAATTTCCCACTATTCTAAATTTAATTCCTTCACCTAGTAGCTCCGTTCTGTAATCTTATAATGGGAACACACTGCCTATCTTCTCCTCCCCTACAAGTCCTGTCCATTGCCTTTTATTAGCTGGCCAATCCGCTTGCCTTTTGTCTGTCAGAGGCCACGTTCACTTGCTATTTTCACATCATCCTGCATATCAGACTCTTGACTGTATCCTAATATCTTTTAAACAACTCAAATTTGACTAACCAATCCACTGAGTAGTGCCTAACCCCTACTTTTCACCTGTAGATATTTGATAATTAAAAATATTTCCCTAGGCTAATAAAATATATGTAAAGAGAGACACTAGTGTCTCAGAACAGTTTAAGCCTCTAAAAAAGTAAATAGCAATAACAAACAAGCAGAAATATAATTCTGGCTCTACCTTTCATAGATAAGATCATATTTTAAAAACAATCTCAGCAATTCTTATCCATCATGTGATTATGTTCCTAAAGATTCTGTCCTTATTTCTCTTTCCCAGAGGAAACACACAGAAGAGATTATTTTAAAGCTCATTAATTTTACTTAAAATGACAACTTTTTTCAGGATAACACTGTATTTTCACCTAATATCTCCCTCTCACCCTCAATTAATCACAAGAACATCTTAATACTCTAAAGCATAATATTCTGGTTTGGAAGTAATAGTTTTAATTGATATAAAAATACTTACTTAGGCTACTTAGTTGTCTAATTATATTTGCCAAGGAAATATTGGTTACACATTCTAGTTCATTCTTAATGCCTCTGGGCAGTGCTGTGTGGCACAAGTGCCTAGGATCGATATTTCTTTTCACTAATGGCATGTTGAGCTCAACCTCCGTGCCAGTTCACCTGTAGAAAGATCAAACAGCAAGTGAACATTATTCACCTGGAACCAACACAGAGCAAGACCTTATCTTTCACATTTAGTAATAAAATATCTGCCAGTACAAGACAATGAAAATAGAATCACCTGACTAAATGAATCATACTCCATTTGTCAACCTTTCATCTTCAACTATTAGAATGTCAACATTATATAAAACATTGGGCGGGGGGGACCCTTGCTTTCAAAGTCAGTTGCTTCACAGTGATTTCATAATCACCATCACTACTACACTCCTAAAACTGTTGACTTTACTTATTACAACTAGGGATTTTGTTCTACAGAATTGGTATGAAAGGTTCTCCCTAAATAAGTGCCTAAAAGGATTAAAGAAGCTGGAAAGTTAGTATCAAATTTGCATTTCCATATGTGGAAGAAAAGGGGGCCACATACTAAACCTAACAAGCTCAGGGGAGGCCTGCACGGCAGGCCCTACAAACCACAGAGACCTAAAGTAACCATAGCATGATCTGAAATGAAAACTTTCTAACTAAAAGTGAGTCATGGTGGGTGGTCATGTCCTAGGCCTGTATTTTCCTTGACAAAAGTCAATCTTTACTTTAACTGAGCCTTTCTATTGTCTTTTTGGATCCAAGATAACACATTTGGAATGTCAGAGTACTCCCCTTTTTCCAGACTCCTCAGGGCAAAATCCACCACAGCAGAGACCACACAAGAACTCACTGTTACCTTGTTGCCCCCAAACCAACTCTATGTGCTGTGTGTTCATTGTTAACTATCCTATACTCATCAACATAAAAGAAGTGTTTCTCCATTTTACTCTATCCAATCTCAGAGATTCCCCCCACTTTGCTTCTTCCTTATTAATCTACCACCAATGGATTACATGTAACCCCCCAGCCTTGTGTCTCCTCCTTAGACTGTAATGTATAAAATAAGCTGCAAAACTGCCATTCTCTGGAGCATTTTCTCAGTCCATTGAGATTTTGCTTCTTGGCAATTGCCATCAGTTTGACTCAAATAAATTCATAAAAATTCTCTATAGGTTCGGACATCACTTACACAGACACGTAAAATGTATCAGGTGTTCAATAGCTCAGAGATCAACTAGTCCAAGTAGTCATACACCGTCAAACTAATAAATCAGAGTTCAACCTTTTTGAATTTCAGTCAGTCCTCACTTCCCAGGCTTCCCATATGCAGACATTTCAATGGTCATACAAGTCCCCTATCCACCTAGTTCCAATTTCACTCACCACAGTACATTAACTATAACTGCATAAATACAACTATTTTGCAGGAATTGAGTCCACACATTGCTATGCTAATAAGAGATGTACATCATCATCAGTGACCAATTAAGTCACTTCTTTTCAAAGCGATTGGTGATTGGTTATTCTTCATCTGCTTTTCAATCAGCCTATGGACAGCAAAGCATATAGCTGGGATAAACCCATGTGAAATTTTACAAAATGGGTAATTGAAAGGGAAATGGCCAACAAAGATAAAAGTGGATCAAAGAAACAAAAAATGATAATGTTAAAAATAATGAAATTAAAATTGAATGTCAGTAGAATAGAAGAAATAACTGATTATAAAAATGTTGCCACTGCCTCTATTTGAGACTCTAGATCAGGGGTCCTCAAACTACGGCCCGGGGGCCACATGCAAATACAAATATTGTATTTGTTCCCATTTTGTTTTTTTACTTCAAAATAAGATATGTGCAGTGTGCATAGGAATTTGTTCATAGTTTTTTTTTTTTAAAAACTATAGTCCGGTCCCCCAACGGTCTGAGGGACAGTGAACTGGCCCCCAGTTTAAAAAGTTTGAGGACCCCTGGTCTAGATATGTAGTCAAAGGAATTAGTGAAGTCAAACTTATTGACATAATCAGGGAAAGTAGTTCTGAGGAAAAGATGTCCCAGAGGAAATGATGCCAGAAAACAACTTCACATTAAATGGGACTCGGAGATATTTCACCATACTGAAAGTGCAAAGAACAAAATGTTGAAAGCTGGTCTACATTTAGTAGAAAGTAGTAAGACAATTTGCCAAGGCGCAGAAAAGATGCTCACTCTGCTAGCTGTTCTGTTATAAAAGGCAAAGAAAGCACTGTTCAAAGTACTCTTGATAAACTTTTTACAAATAAAGCACTTTAATTCCGTTTCTAATGTTTTATCTTACATTAGACTAAATTAAAGTTTTACTAAATTAAAGTTTTTTATTATTCCTCTATACATTTATAACCAACATAGCAGAGTTTAATGTTTTGACAACTTTTTTAAAAGACCATGGAACAACAGTAATTTTCCCCATTGACTACTAAACTAATTTTTGCATGGTTTTAGTTTGTATGGTCATTTTTTTTTGGGGGGGGGGGTCCCACTCTATCATGCAAAGAGAGGACTGCCTATATTTACCTCTGGTAAACAATGGTTACTGAAGGAAGTAATTTATTACTTACTGAGCTTTAATGGCTACCAAGTGAAAAGTTTTAGATAAATCTAATTGTACTGAAGTGTTACTTATCAACATTCTTTAAAAACAAACTTTCGTATGAAATTTGTCTCCTCTGACCTGTTTGTTCATTATTCTCTCTACATTAAAAAAAATTTTAAATTCTACAATATAAAACACAAAACAGTATACAAAATTGTACATTTTAATGATTTCCGCAAACACTCATGCAACCCCACAGAAGAAATGAGACATAGCCAGGACCCCAGAACCCTCCCACTCTGGCCCCTTCTCAATCACACTTCTTTCCCAAATAACCATTATTCTGACTTTTATAAGCATTTCCTTGTTCTTTATACTTAAGCAGATAACTCTAAATATTATAGTTTTGTTTGCTTTTTGAAGCTTATGTAAGTGGAATCAAATAAGTATTATTATTTTGTCTTGCCCTTTTCATTCAACATTGTATTCGTACCATTCATTCATGTTGCTTTGTATACAGGATGTTCACTTTTAGTGTTGTGTAATAAATAGTCCACGATATGATGACACCATCTGTTTCCAATTTGAGCCCATTATGATGTCACTATTCCAAAAGTGACAGTATCACTGTACACTCCTTCCAGCTGAGTACGAGGCTGCTGCCGCTCCACATCCTCACAGCACTTGATACTGTCCATTTTAAATTCTACCTATTCTTGTATGTAGTGATAACTTATTGTAGTTTTAATTTTCCCAATTACAAATGAATTTAAGTGCCTTTTCATGTTTATTGATCTTACTAGATTTTTCTCTGAGAAATGCCTGTTCAATTCTCTAGCCCACTTTCTATTTATCATTTGTTGTTAGGGCTAATTTATGGAAACAGTAGATATGAGCCATTCGAAGGTGTTATCTTTGATGCGACTATCTTTTCTTTATATATATCAGAGAGGGAGAAGGAGAAATAGAAACATCAATTATGAAAGAGAATCATTCATTAGCTGCCTCCTGCAGGCCCCACACTGGAGATAGCGCCTGCAACCTGGGCATGTGCCCTTGACCGGAATTGAACCCAGGGCCCTTTAGTTTGCAGGCTGACGCTCTATCCACTGAGCTAAACCGGCTAGGGCACAACTTACCTTCTCTTGTGTCACTTGCTATTTCACTCTCTTAATGTCTTTTAATGAACAGGTTTTTACACTCAATATGGTGGAATTTATCAATCCTTTTTCAAAATATGAAAGCACAGGTTTTAAAATCATTTTCTACAAGATCACATATATGATATTCCATATCTCTTAGCTTTGTTTTGCCTTGTACTTTCAACCTATAATTGATGTGGAATTAATTTTTGTAAATGGTGTGAGGCAGCAGTCAACTTTCTTACATATTACTTCAGCATCACTTATTGAAAAGGGTATTCTTTCTCTATGGCTCTACTGTGGCACTTTTGTCATAAATGAAGTTTTTATCTATTTTTACATCCATTTTGAAGCCCTATAGTATTCCATTGGTCTGTCTACCTTGAGCTAATGACACGCTATCTTTTAAATTTTTAAAAAATTGATTTTGAGAGAAAAGAAGGGAAAGGGAGAAACAAAGGGACTGAGCCCACAACTAGGGCATGTGCCCTGACCAGAAATCAAACCAGCAACCTTTCAGTATGGGATGATGCCCAATCAACTGAGCCATACCAACCGGGGCTAATGACACACTATCTTAAAGGAGCTTCAGAATAAGTTTTGATATCCAATGGGGCAAGCTCTCTTATCTTGTTCTTAAAAAATGCGTTTATTCTCGGCCCTTTGTATTTCCATGTGAATTTTATTTTTTTATTATTTAATTTTAGAGTCAGATTATCAAATTATACACACACACACACACACCATTGGGAATTTTATTGGAATTGTACTAAATCTATAGATCATATTAGGGAGTACTGATAGCTATACAACACTATCTTCCTATTTATGAATATATTGTTATCTCCCCAATTATTTCAGGTATTTAAAAATGTCTCTTAATGTTTTATAGTTTTAAGAATAGAAGTCTTATACATCCTTTATTAGATCTGCTGGTATATATGTGAATTTTTTTAAAATACTGGAAATGGTATATTTTGTGTTTTATTTTCTCTTTATCATATATACACACACACACACACACACACACACACACACACACACACATAAATTGATTTTTGAACAGACCTTATATCCAGATACTTTTCTAATCTCTACTAACCTATCTGTAATTATTTTGGATTTTTAAAATGTATATAATCTATCATATTTGAATAATGATTATTTCCTCCTTTCTGATCTGTTTCATTTCTTCTTCATTACTAGCTGGAACCTTTCACAATGTGAAATAGAGGTAATGATAACAAGCATTCTTGTCTTTTTCCTAAACCAAAGGAAAGCCTTCAACATTTCATAAAATGTCTGCTAGCGGGTTTTGTGTTGCTTTGTTGTGTAGACATCTTTTAACAGATTAAGGACATTCCTATATATTTCTAGTTTGCTCAGATTTTGTTTTATCATGAATGCTGATTTTATCAAATG